TAGGTTAAAACCATACATCACTGCCCTCATTCAGCACCACAGGAAAGGTGACAATGGGACTCCATAAGTGCATTATCACAAATTTAAGTAGTCCCTTTATTCTGGATCATGACCCAAAAGGACTAAAGTAAAATATCAAGATGTGGGATCAAGAAATATTTTCCTCTTAAGTCTAACAATAAGAAAAAAAACAGCATTGTGCAACAATAAAAGGCAACCAACACTATCTCACTTTCAGGCACAACAGAGAGAGATTGAGACTGTGGTGAACAAGAATACATTTTCCCCAGCTACAGAGGCAGGTAGTATTCTGCTCCAACCAAAGTCCCCAGAGCAAATGTGAGGCGAGAGACACAGATTGTAGTTTAACAAAAGCTGGAACCCAAAATTCAACATCAAATTCCACAACTGTTAAATGTTGGCAACTAAAAAAGAATTTAGGCAGAGTCCAAGGGCATCAGTTCCTAAACTCAGTCCTCCATGAACCATAAGCCCAGAAGATCATATATAGTCATGCCCCTGGCAGCACTGAGCATCACCTACTATACAGAGATTTTCAACAGTATCATTCTGGTCAATCATTACTTTGAGGTTCAGCTTTTCTCTCTTCAGAAGACAGTGTTAAAACCCACAGAGTGGGAAAAAATTTTAGCGATTTGTCTCTCAGATAAAGGACTTCTATCTAAAACATATAAAGAATTGAGGACCAGGAATATAGCTCAGAGGCACTAGCACCTGTCTGGCAAGCACAAGGTCCTGAGTCTGATTCCCAGTTCCAAAAAAAAGAAGAAAAGAAAAAAAAGCACCAAGTGAACAAACAGGGAGCCTTGCACATCACCGCAGAGATTCAAACAAATGATGTGTTAGCCAAGCGTGGTGGCGCACACTTGCAATCCCAGCACTTCGGAGGCTGAAGCAGGAGGATCATTGTGAGTTTGAGGCCAGCCTGGGCTACAAAGTGAGCTCAAGGCCAGCCTGAACTGCATAGCGAGACCCTGTTTCAAAAAGAGAAAAAAAAAAAACACTGAAAAAGTCAAGCCCCCCAAATTCAAAGACCCAATCCAAAACTGGGCATCTGAAATGAATACCCACCTCTCAGATAAAGAAATACAAATGGCAAATAAATATATGAAAAAATGATCAACATCATTGGTCATTCGAGAGATGCAAATTAAAACAACACTGAGATTCCATCTTACTCCAGAAAAAACGGCTATCATCAAGAAATCAACCAATAGGTTGAAGAAGAGGCTGTGGGCAAAAAGGAATATTTCTCCACTGTTGGTGGGAGTGCAGACAGGGGCAACCATTGTGGAAATCAGTGTGGAGATTCCTTTAAAAACTAGGACTAGAGGTCCCATTAGACTCAGCTATATCCCTTCTCGATATTTTCCTCAAAGAATTAAAAACATCATACCATAGTGATATGTGTGTACCCATGTTTATAGCAGCACAATTTGTAATAGCTAAATCTTGGAAACAACACAAATGCCCATCAACTGAGGAATGGACAAAAAAGATGTAGCATTTTCATATAATGGAGTACTACTCAGCTATAAAGAAGGATAAACTTGAGGCTTTTATGGGTAAATGGATGCAACTAAACACCATACTCAAGTGAAATAAATCAAATTCACATGTGTAAACATCATATTGTCTCCCTAGTGTCCCTAGTGTAAGAAACTGAAAAAGTAAATAAGACCCAAAATCTACAATAGATATTGTGAAAGGAAAAGAAACTGCTCAAAAAGAAAAAACAAACGGGATAGTTAAAAGGAGAAAAGAAAGGGAAAAGAAAATATATATATACAAAAGATAGATAAGATGGTTATACTACTAACTTATTTTACTTCATTGTAAAAAACAGTTTGTACTTATATTGTTTGATCAATTATGCATTTCTATAGCTTGTAATCTGAGCAACTACTTTGAAGATAATGAGACACAATATATTAACCTTTGTTAATATCCTATCCTCTTGTTTTGAAATTCTGTATTTTTTCTCTTTAAAATAAAATAAAAACTAAAAAAGAAGGCATCTGTAGACAAACTTAATACAACATACAACAGTGTCATGGATTAATCCATTATTTATTTTCTTCTGTCACTGTGAATTTAATTAACTGGGCTAGAGAGGTCCACAGAGGCACAATAATCGGTGTCAGCCTGCTGCTACAGAAGGGGAGCCAGCAGAAAAGCCAGGAAATCAATCCAACTTAGATTAGAATCCTCAGCTCTGGCTCTACCAGCTGTGGGAATTTGGGCAAAGTATGAACTAACTTGAGCCACAATTTCATCATAAAAAATAAATGAATAAAGACACCACTGTCTATCCTGGAAAGCTGTGATGTCATCATATGCCATCACTGCTGGCAGCTCGGTCCTAGACACTGTAGCAGCTTTCTCAGAAAACTCCCACCACTCACCAGGCAGGTCTTGAGAGTATCTTGTTTTGTACTTGGGGAAATAGAGGGTCAGAGGGCTGGGGATATAGCTCAATGGAACAAGCGCCTGCCTGGCAAGTGCAAGGTCCTGAGTTTGATTCCTGGTACCAAAAGGAAATAGAGGCTCAGAAAAGTGTTGTCCCAAAGAATTCTTGTGTGAAGAGTCACTGAGCAGGTATTTTGACCTTGCTGCCTGACTCCAGAGCCAGGACATCAATCCTCTTCAGATTTCATTTTCTTCATTCAGTCTAAAAGGGTCATCCTAACAGTTTTAAGAACAGCCACTGGAAGCCACTGATCTGATCTGCTCCTAATGCACAGCAGTTAAAAACCACGAACCCTCCTTCCTCGTGAGGACTGTAATCATTCACTAGAACAGTGATGGCGAACCTTTTAGAGACTGAGTGTTCAAACTGCAAACCAAAGTGCCAACCCTGCAATCAAACCTGAGTGCTGAGGCTTTTAATGTAGATAAAAAAGTTCACACAACTCATGACGGCATCACAGAGAGGGCTCTGCGTGCCCACTGGGGCACACCTGCCATTGGTTCACCATCCTGCACTAGAAGGAAAGAGGTCTTAATCACCCAAGGATCATCTGGCAGCCCATCACTGGTTAATTAACACTGCTGACAAAGAGGACAATGAAGCCTTTGGCAGCCACCCAAGGACTAAGCTAGTTTGGTCTGCTCCTCTCTTCTAACTGGCACGGGCTGCCCTGCACATCCTCATCAGCAGAAAATAGCCAGAGCCTCTGCACACTCATTTTCTCTTCGAGATGCAGGTGGAAGACTCATGGTTAAGACATGAGAAGTGGCAGGAATCTAACTGCTGGAGATGCCTCGCAAACTGTTGGTGTTCCTCCAATTATCAGGTCCACGTTACAAAAAGATCAAGCCTCTGGTCTGGATAGGAACAGAAAGAACCATTCTTCAGGGGCAAATAGAGTCCAAAGGGGGATGAACTAAGGAAGAAGTTAAAAAGCCGAAAGGTGCTGAGCAGAGTAGAGCAACTGGTTAAACATCTAGTAGGTGTTTCAAGTGAGGTTCTCAATGAATTCTTCTGACAAGCCTCGGCGAGACAAGACAGCCCCATTCACGGTGAAAAACTAAGGCTCAAGGAAAACTCTCATGATCGTGACAGACTGGCATTCAGTCTCACTCCAAAGCCTGGGTTGCCTCTGCCATCCCCACAGTGTCCCTTCCCAGACGGAATCAGACAAGAGCCTCACAGCTTCCTTCACACTAGTTCCTTTAACATATCTAGCCTCCAGAGACAGCTAAGATGGCAACAAGAAAGATGGGGCCCAGCAAGCCAAGGGGTCTTACCCATAAGCCCTTAACAATGGGCAGCACTCCCCATGCAGAGGCTCAGGGAAGTGTTCCTGAGACAACACACTGAGACACCACTGGCAGTGACTCTAAAAAGACTGAGGCCCCTGATGCTGGCTTTTCTCTGAAATGGTGCCCTCTTTCCATGGCTTCTCATGAAGGAGGTTCAGGAACTCCAAAGCAAATCCAATGGTGACAGGAATCCCTCTTGAAACCATCTCTTGACCTCCACAGGAACCACATTCATTTCTGAAAGTGAACAGCTGTTGAGACAACATCAGGAATCAAAGATTTGCTGAAGAGTGAGTGAAGAGAAATGATACAGCAACCCAAGGGAGAAGATGGCTAAGGATTCAGTTAGAATTTCCACTGACACCTCCACCCAACATAGCAGCTCTGACTTTTTGCTACGAAAGAACTAGAAAAAGATAACACGGTTTCTTCAGCAGCAACACTAACACCAACACAAGGATAAAAAAAAAGAGTCAAGAATTCAGGGCAGCAGCCACAGCAGGATGAGAAAAAAACCTGCCCTTTGAAATGTGGGAGGAGACCATAGGGCATTTTTATATGACATCATTTACTCCCAAGTTCAGATCTGGAGCAAATCACGATAACCATTTCTCAAACCTTGCTATGGAGATAACAAAGATCCCTACTACTCCAGGGGTTGACATGAGACCTGAATAAGTTAACTTACATCAAAGACTATTAAAGGCCAGGTTTGCAACAAGCACCAAGTATAGACAGTTTTATATATATAGTAGCATTATCCCTACCATTCAGGGATGTTTGTACAACATTAAAATGTCAGCAGAACACAAAGCTCAGAGTTCTGTGGGATTTCTGTTGCCATTGAAGACATTTAATCATTAAACATCACATTATCCTCATTTTTTCCTGAAAATTGCCATGCCACTTTGGTGAAATAAGCATGTGGGCTGCAGGCTCCCAAACCCTGAGCAGTAGGTGACATGTGGCTCTGAGAAATCTGCAGAAAGGATGACTTCATTTAAATTAAGATGCCAGACAACACTATTACTTTTTTACCTACAAATAAGGCATGGATTTCTGCAGTCACACAGTTCAGACCACACAATGACTGGTCTGCGATAGATGATAGGTAGGTAGGTAGGTAGGTAGACAGACAGACAGAAAGAGAGAAGAAAACCAAAAGAGCAAGAGAGAAGCTAAGCCTCTCTGAGCCACAGAAGGCAGAAAAGTACCTGTCTCGGTTTTGCTGGCGAAGCCAGCTGCCTGTTTGATCGCCGCCGCCGTGAGTGCTAATCCTCGACTCCTCTTCAAGCCATGCTGCAAGACAGCTTCAAACTGAGCACACAGACAGGTTACCCTGCAAAAGAAGCAGTGACTTATCAGTCCACCTGGTCACAAGCAGGGCTGCCCCAGCAGCTCCAGAGAGCCAAGGAGTCACCAAACCTAAGACGCAGCATTAAGGTACACAGGAGACACCTGAATTTACAGGCAGCGGCTTGGTAACTGCCGTGGGCCACTCCACAACCCCCTCCATTTACATTAATTTCACATAAGTCAGAGAGAAATGCCTGGCACAGTCCTGCCATATTCATCAGACCAGAAAACACAGTACCGTATCATTATATGAGAGAGAAACTCCAGAAAAAGGAATTGGTGCCAGCCAACAGGAGAAAAGCCAGTCTAAAAACAAATCAGTTTGGGGCAAGGATGTAGCTCAGTAGCACAGCACCTGGCTGGCAAGTGCAAGGCCCTAAGTTTGATTTCTGGTACCAAAAAAAAAAAACATTTTGATGTGGGGAGGGCCTAGGTATTAATTGTTTCCAACTTACAAGTTGCAAATCTAATTCATATCACATGTAGTTCAAAGAACAAGATTACATTCCCGAGATTGAATCCACCAGCCTGCCAAATTGGAAACACTGTGCAATTTCATGGTCTGTTACCACCACACACACACACACACACACAGAACATGAATTATGGTTCTTATTCTTTATCTTGTAAAGGAGATTATATTGTGAACTCAGATCCAGAGTTTTCAATTAAGTTACAATTTCTATGCATTTAACTGAATTTATTTCTCAATAACCACAGAAATGAGAGATTCACAAACATGCCTAGGAAGAGAAGTCACAGCAACTATACTCCGTTCTTAGCAATATTCCCACGGCTTCTGGGCCTGTGCTGATTGGGTCTTGGGACTCAGAGCCCTTCCCTTCTTCATTCATGCAACCAATGTGAAGAGTGACACCACCCATGTGTCAGGCACTGTTCTGGACTTTGGGGATAGAAAAATGAGACTGACATAGGCAACCCCTCTACCTTAACCCATCTATACTGTTCTAGCAGAGGGAGATACACAAAGAAGCTAACCAGACATTTGTTAATAAGAACTCTAGAGAAAATAAAAAAGGATGTCAGTAGGTGGACATGAAGTGGAGAGAGGGCAAGGTCAGCTTAGATTCTGTGGCCTAAGTGGAAGCAGCCTTGGAGTTATGACCTGGATATGACAAGAACCAGCAGACTGAACAGATGGATCCAGTGCTAAGGCCCTGAGGTCACTTATATCTGGCTCTCAACTTTGCCTAACTACAAGGATTTCCTGCTCCACCCACCATCACACCTGTAGTAATAATGTTCCAATTGTGTGTCACTCTGCACATAGTCATACCCATTATTTCATACCCATTATTTCATTAACTCCTTCCATCAACATTATGATACAGAAGAGGCAGGTGTTATTATCTCCATTTTACACTTGAACAAATTAAGGTTTAAAGACAATTAAGGGACCTCCTAAAGACAATGCATAATAAGCAACAACATCAGTACTCCAGATCCACCACCCCGCATGGGTCCATTATACCCCACACAACCAAGACAATCATCATTTCTCCTAAGATAGAAGTTGTCTCACTCCCATACCCAATCTTTACTCAAATTATTCTGTCTATACCAGACAGTTCTAACACAGCATCAGCAAATACACAGCACTGATGCCTTTACTCTGCCCTTGTGCTATAGCACACTAAACCACCCCAGTATTCTAGGCGACCACTGCCAAGTGGTTGGAACTGGCTGGTCCCAACAAGAAGCCAAACCTCATACTTTGCCTCAACTCCACTAATTGGTTTCTGCCTCTTATCTTGTCTTTCTTGAACCCCCTGTACTAGCATGGAACCTGGTACAGAGCATGTGTTCCATAAATGCTGCTCCTATGGGGTAGGTAAATGGGTGACTAACCTTGAACCGTGGGTCCCAGAACATTCCCCCACAATCAAACAGCACTCTTTGCCAGGCACATGTCACTCTCAAATATTAGATGTTCATCTGCTAAGGTCTCTACTTATCCACACCGGCAGGTATATGAGAGATTCTTGAATACCCGAACCCAACAGTTAACTAAAAATGGTTCAAGACCTGCCCCAAATGGGAGGGGGCAAACTTGGACTGTGTTTAGACTTCTCTGCAATTCACCAAAGCCTCTACATTTAAAAGAACTTCTGTGATACAACAATCAATTTAACAATCTCTGACAGGTTGCTTGATCCAAAGCACAGGTTCAAAACTGCCCAGCCCAGCCAGCTCTAGGTGAAACCTGGTCCCTAAGGGGAATGGAATGCAGGCAAGCAGCACAAACCCAGTCCCTGAGGTTCAGGTTGCATCATCACTACTGAACGCAGGTCAGAACTAAACCTTATAGCAGAAAGAACCCCAGGTGGGCACTATCCTATAATTAGCTCATTTCACCACCTGCTGGCTAAGTCATTCCGTGTAACAAGCTCCTCTCCTGTGTCCCCTATTTACCACCACCACCACCGCCCCCCATCTGATCTGAGTTTGTGTCCACTGGTCATTCAAGACTTCTCAAATGTTCCCTCCTCCAGGAACTCCTCCTTCCTGAGTGCTTCCTCATTATAAGCCTCTTTCTACCACAGCACCTGCCCCTCTCTATGTTAATGATAAACTTATAGGGCTGGATAGCTGTCTCTTCCTGCTGTATGCTCCTCTTCACTACCTGAGAATGTAACCAAAATGGTCCCACCCTTCAGATAACTCAGATTACAATGATGTGCATTTTAATAAGATGCATCTGAAGAGATCTTATGTAATCTGTAACTCAAAACCAAGACAGCTGAAAGTGAAGAATCGGAAGACGCACTTGTTCCAGCACATACACTTACCCATTAGCCATATCACCCTAAATGGCGAACCTTTTAGCACTTTCAATGATACAAACAGAACACTTTGACACGCACACTGTAGGTTCTCCACCACTGCCCTAAGGTTTCCACTGCTTCCTACCTTGCTCAGTTATAATTTCTGCAAACAGGAGAGCCTGCTTTCATGCAGCTCTTTTATTTTCTCAGTTCAGTCCCCCTATTTCTCAGAATGCACTCTACTAAATGCTTTACGATGCAGGTTGGCTATGTCTATGGTATGTTCTCATATCAAACTTTCCTTCCAAGTTAATGAATTGAGGCCATATTTTTAATTAAGCAGGGCACTAATTACAGTAAATATTTTAATTTTTTAAAAAACCACTATTCAGTGGCCGGGAATACAGCTCAGCGGAATTGCACCTGCCTGGCAAGCATGAGGTCTCGAGTTTGATTCCCAGTACCAAAAAAAAAAAAACAGCACCCGTCAACAAAACCCCTCCAAGTTTTTATGCATATAGGTGCTTACCAAATGAATGGAGAAATAAAATGTAGTATATCCATACAATGGAATACCGTTTAACAACAAAAAATCATAAAGTACTGACACATGCTCTAACATAGATAAATCCTCAAAATATTATGCTAAAGGAAAGATTCAAAAAAAAAAAAACACATTGTCTAAGTCCACAAAATGTCCAGAAAACATAAACATAACACAAAGACAATCTGTCTAGGGATGGAGTCAAAATCACAGATTAAAGATAAACTGGAACAAGGGAATTTAGGGGAAAGCTAGGAACATTCCAAAACTGAATTGTAGTGATGGTTGCATAACACCATAAATTTAATTTTTAAAAACCCACTGAATTATACACTAGAAGGGGCAAGTTTTTATGCATGTAAATTAGATTTCAATAAAACTGCTTAAAAACAAAAAACTTCACGCTTTCCTGAACTTAGCTCATTTCCTAAAACAAGAATTTAAAACAGTGTTCAAGCCACAAGAACTAGAAATACTATCTGGAGCTATAAAAGGTAAATAAATATGTTTTAAAGGTCAAAATGAGAAAACATGCAACTATTTAAAGTGCATTTTTTAAAAGATTAGATTACAGTGTCAAGTAAAGAAAGTAGATCTACAAACAGTATAAAAATGTTTCTAACCTACAAATAAAAATGAGACTATATGTCAAAAATTAATTTTTTTAAACTAGCCAAAACAGGACAGGGTAATTCAATTCATGGTAGTGACAAAAATTTAATCATTTTTAATAAGAAAGATACAAGTCCTAAAAGGAGAAAACCATAAAATTTGAAAGTGTGTAAAGATCAAAATAAATAAAAACCCTGCCTAGCATGCATAAGGCCCTGGGTTCAATCACCATACTATAAAATAAATAAATAAACAAAAACATCATTTCCCCAAATGGAAAGACTTATTAAAATAAAAATGACAATTCTTTCCAAATTAATGTATAAATTTAATACAATTTTAACAACAACTGCAGTAAGGACTTGGCTCAGTGAGGTTTGCAGTAAAGAGAAACAAAACAAGTTAATGGAACAGTATAGAAATCCACCTCCAGGGGTTGGGGATTTAGCTCAGCAGCACAGCGCCTGCCTGGCAAGTGCAAGGTCTTGAGTTCGATTGCTGGTACCGGAAAAAAACCAAAAACCAAAAAAAAAAAAAAAAGAAATCCACCTCCAACCAAATAAACATGGAAACATTTTACATGTAATAATGATAACACCTCAGTTCAGATGGGCAAGAATGGGCTACTTAGCTGATGAGAGGGGCTGAGAAAAAATAAGGATAAACTTCTACCACAAAGCACAGACAGAACTAAAATCCACACTGATCAAAGGACAATGTTAAGTGTACAAAAATAAAACTGTAAAAATAATAGAGAAAAACTGTTCTTGTTCTGAGGAGCCTGAGAATACAACACTCTCAAAATCAAAAATGTCAAAGGTTCACAGAATTAATTGCATAAACTTCTTAAATGTTTACATTTAAGACATCATAAATATGGTAAAACAAGACTGGGGAAAATATTTACAGCATATATAACCAGAAAGATTTATACTCATAGTACATGAAGAGTTTCTATAAAGGAATTTTTAAAAAGCAACTCAAAACATAAAAGAGAAAGAAGGTAGACAAATTAACCAGAAGAGGAGGAAATATATTGTC